CTAGTTTTTCTAAAATGTCCTAAAACCATGACACACACAGAAACGAAAATACTAAAGGAGAAGGCGTAACTGAGATTCTGGGAGGGGACGTTGAGAATTACCTGCAAACCCCTCTCTCTCTTACTCCGAATCCCTGTTAACTGATCGGCGGCGCAGCCCTGTGCTGGAAGAGCAGGCACGGTTTCGATGCCACGGGCTATAGCTGGTGTGTGAACAGAGACTGCTTTCCAGTCCTGAACCAAAATATAAAATTAACTTGAAAATGACTTTCTGTTTCCGTTTGTTTGCTCACAAGTTACAAAGCACTGATAGATATTTGAGGAAAATGAAGTTGATCGGCTCAAAGTTGTCCAGCCGAAAAGAATAGCTGCTTTGTGAAGCAGATGTTCCTGAGAAACCTCTAACCTCAGCCCTCCAGGCTGAGCCCCACCTCCCCTCTGAAGTCCTGCAGAGGGGAGAGTGCCGGGTTGAGAAAGGCCCTGCCACACATAGACTACCGACCAAAGAGAGGTGATTTTCATGCTAGGTGGATTCCAAAGGCACACACTGAGTTTCAATCAAACTGTGGAGTCTGCCTGTTTTCCAGAGTAGGGCATTGTGATCTGGAAAGCCTTGGAGACTCACTCCAGTAACTAGGAAACTGAAAGTTCAGTCTAGAACAGCCACACAGATGAGTACAATTAATAGACTTAGGCTAAATATAATGGCCATGGCATGAATATGGACAGTTCTCTCTAGGGACCCATGGATGAAAAGGCTTCTTTCCCAGAAATGCACTACTGGGAGGCAAAATCAGAAGACATCTTTAAGAGGTAAAATGATAAGCCAATGGGGCGGAGGGCTAGGACCATAGCCTCTTTCACTCTGCTTCTTGGCTCATAAAGTGAGTTGCTTGCTCCACCACACACCCCCAATATGACATGCCACCCTCAGCAGAGGCACAAGGCGCTGGAGGCATTTAATCTTGAACAGACACTTCAGACCCATAAACCTGAATCAATCTCTTCTCTTTATAAACTAACTTCATCTTGTAATTTGAATAAGATTGACTCACTTGTTTTTGGAAAGTCGTGGAAACGTTAGTTGACTAAGCTCCAAGAGAAAGTGGGTTATTCAGATGGGGCCTTGAGATTTTTAGAACCTGTTTTATCTTACTTCCTAACTTCAGACTCTGCATAGCTAGTCCCCTTAAGCATCTTCTTCCATGCTATTTCTGCTGTGATAGATTGTGTCCTCAAATAGTGAGCCAGGACCAGGCTTTTTCTCTGGAGCCACCAACTAGCTCCCAAATCATGACACAGAGACTTATTAGTTTTGAATGCTCAGCCTAGCTTAGGAACATCTCTAGCTAGCTCTTTTAACTTAAATTAATCAATTTCTCTTTGCTGTAGGATGTTCTGCATGCTGTGAATATGTGTGGCTCTGATTGGTTGATAAATAATACACTGATTGGCTAGCAGCCAGGCAAAGAGTATAGGTGAGACAAGGCGATGAGGAGAATTCTGGGAATAAGAGGCTGAGTCAGGAGATGCCAGCCTGCAGTCCAGGGAGCAGTATGTAATGGCACAAGGTAAAGCCACGGAATACATGGCGACATATAGATTAACAGAAATAGGCTGAGTTTAAGTGTAAGGGTTAGTCCATAGTAAGCCTGAGCTAATGGCTAAGCAGTTAAAATTAATATAAGCCTGTGTGTCTGTATTTGGGACCAAGTGGCTGAGGGTGAGTGGTGGATGGGAGAGATTTGTCCCAACCATAGGACCAGGGCTGGACACAAGGAAACTTTTAGCTACAATCTACCGTTTGCCTCAGGTCTTTTTACTTTTTCTTACTTTCTTGTTGTCCCTATGTCTGGTTGTTTGAAGGCTGCCTGGCTTCTGGCACCTGGGCATGTCCCTCCTTCTCTCTTCCTTCTCCTCCTCTCATTCTTCCTCTCCTGAGCCTAGATTTCTTCTCTTTATTCCCTCTGCCCTGCCAGCCCCACCTATCCTTTCCTGCCTAGCTATTAAGTATTCAGCTTTCTATTAGACCAATCAGATGCCTTAGGCAGGCAAAGTGAGACAAATGCAACACATCTTTACCTACTTAAAGAAATGTAGCATAAACAAAAGTAACACACCTTTACACAGTTAAAATAACATTCCACAGCATGAACAAATATAACACATCTTTGCCTAGTTAAAATAATATTGAACAACATGATCCAAATTGAATTCTCCATCCTTTTTGCTGCTTATCTAAGATATTTTGTTACAGCAATAAGAAAAATGGCTACAATAGTCTCCCATGAATGTTGTTAGGGTGGCAAGGCTAATACACCAGTTCTCAAGTAAATTCCAACATCACCTGGCTTCCCAGCAGTAATTATGAGAATTTCCACTAATACTTTCAAGGGCTAGAAGCCAGGATTGTGCAGTGTACGAGCACTTAAGGCAAGACAAATCAGATGTAGGCAGAGTTTTTCATCCTGACCAATGGTCAGCTCTGTCCTGCCAGCCACTCCCAAATTGCTGTGGAATAATCCTCTCTTATACTGTAAAGATTTGTCACTTGAGTTGGTTTAATAAAACACTGATAGGCCAGTAGCCAGGCAGGAAGTATAGGCAGGGTGACCAAACTAAGAATGCTGGGAAGGAGAAGGGCAGAGTCAGGAATCACTAGTCAGGTGCAAAGGAAGCAAGATGAGAATGCCATACTGAGAAAAGGTACATAGATAAGAATTATGGGTTAAATTAAGTGTAAGAGCTAGTTAGTAGTAAGCCTGAGATACATTTATAAGTAATATGTCCCTGTGATAATTTGGGAAGTGGCTGCTAGGTTTTAGTGGTTTCTGGTGGGACTGAAATTCCACCTACACCAAATAACCACATAGAGACTTTTTATTAATTATGAAAGCTCAGCCAGTAACTTAGGCTTGATTTTAGCTAGCTCTTATAACTGAAATTAATCCATTTCTATTCATCTGTGTGCTACCCTAAAGCTCATTTACCTCATTTATCTACTTCCATGCTGCTTTTTCTGCTTCTTGCTGGCAGTTCCTGAGACTCTGCCTTTCTCCTTCCCAGCATTCTCCTAGTCTGACTCTCCTACCCAATCTCTTTCTGCCCAACTATAGGCCAGTCAGCTCTTCATTAGCCAATGAGAGTAATACATATTTACAGTGTACAAAGATTGTTCCACAGCATCAGATCTGGAGATGATCTAAAAACATAACTGGGTAAGGAAGGTCAGGATACATCACAATTTTCTCAAGTAGATTTAGCTTTTCCCTTGCATCTTCTCATGTACCAACCAAATCACACATATTCTATGTTTATTTTATTTTATTTGGGATGCTGTAATGGCTATTTCTCATTATCAACTTGATTATATCTGGCATGAATTATCCAGATATGGAGGGCACACTTGTGATCTAGATCTTGAGGCAGGAAGACAACATGCCTTTGATCCAGATCTTGAGGCTGGAAGGCACACCTTTAATCTGGGTCACACCTACTGTTGGAATACTATATAAGGACAATGGAAGCAGGAAGGGTGTTCTTTGCCTGCTTGTCCTCACCTCCAGCAGCCCATCCATTCCTTCTTGGAGATCGTAGTAGATCAGCTGGGACACCCAGCCTTGTTGGACTGAGCAGCTACTAGATCCTTGGACTTTCTATTCGTAATTAGCCATTGTTGGACTGTAGCCTATAAGTCATTCCAATAATCTCATATAAAGAGGGGGGAGAGGGGAGACAATAAGATGATCTCTCTCTCTCTCTCTCTCTCTCTCTCTCTCTCTCTCTCTCTCTCTCTCTCTCAAATTTCTCTCTAGAGAGAGAGAGATGGTGGGGGAGACAATAAGATATCATCTCAATGAAAAGTGCTATGTGTCCTAAGGAAAGTACTCAACCTCTTTCTTTTGTGTATTGAGAGAAGGGTACTTCTTCATTCACAGAAAGAAACATTTACAAAAGCAATTCTTTCCAGATACAGAAGCTGGAAGAGGAAACTGTACCCTCTCTCTCCAGTCCCACTGAGTTCACGGCAGAAGGTGCAATGCCCAACCAGCAAAAGCAGCTCTACCCATTTATCAGACCGTCAGTCTATCTGATTGAGAGCACAGCCAACTCAGTACATTGAGACAGAAAATAAATAGGGCCCAATGTCCCTTATTAACATGGCTTTCAAGGGGGTACTGGGTTTAACACTTTGTTCACGGACTGCAGAATCTTGTCAATTTTAAAAGAAAGTACGATCTCTGTCAATGAATTCATCCTGAGAAGGAAGCGCCCCTGCTTGGTGCTGAGGGTGTCATGGAATGCAATCTCCGTCTTTGAGAAGCTGACAGTCTAGCTAGGAATGTACATTTACACCACAGAGAAGCAAGGCAAGGAATATTAAACACTGTAGCATCAAATGCTATCAGTTATGTGAAGCAAGGGAACATGGGTTTGCCTGACATGACTTTCCAACAGAGAAGGGTCACATGTGGGCCCAGGAGGACAGGAACAAAGACAGGTGAAGAGAGGAGCAAGTGAACTTCCGGGGAGGCACAAACAGTGGTCTGCTCCTGCAGTGGGAAGAGGCCAGGCTGCCTGGAGCTGGCCATCTGTGCCCTGCTAATAATTCCACTTATAAATTATGAAAATCAAGGCAAGGAGTATGTTGATCTAATGAATATACAAATGCAAACTATGATATGATTCATTTTTCCTTCTGATTTCCAGAGTGTACCTATGACAGTTGCTTCAGAACTATATTGTGGTTCCAAACTAAGAGGAAGTATTTAAAAGAAAGAAATACTTTGTAATTTTCTCTACTATCCTAGGTTCTCCTTGTTCTTATTTAACCTAAGCACACTTTTATAGTACTGACCATAGTTGCTTAAATTTCTTTCTTTGTGATATGACACCATTGGGAGCTGTACTAATTTAGGGCAAATGTGTTCCACTTGCTCTCTATGACAATGACTGAGATTTTAACCTAAAGATGTGATCTTATTATTTTCCTGTATGCAGCTGGTAAGGAGTCCAGATGGCCAAAACCACAATATCAGCATCGTGTGGGATTCCGAGGAGGAAACAAACCATAAGGGAAGAGTGAGGAAGATTGTGGAGTGAATTTCATGGATTTGACATGAAGAAAGGTTGTCTGTAGATCCTGCCTCCATTGATGAGGAACATGACCTCAATACAATGCAGCTGATGATCAGAAATAAATATTTCTAATAATTAACAGACTGAAAACTTTGTGAGCACATTTGGAACGCATTGCATTTACTCTGTTGTAAGCACAGTATTAGATTTTTTTTACAAAAGAAATAATGACCCAAAATGCTTTTATTTTCCTTTAAATTTATTATTTCCCCCTCGCAAAAAAAAAAAAAAAGCAAAAACAAAAAACAAAAAAAAAAACCTTAATGCCTATAAAAATGTTAGGCAAAAATTGAAATTAATGAAGAAAGCATGGATATGAGTTTGGAGTAGTCCATGGGGAACTAAGACCATCTGGCTGTACAGCTCACAACTCACTGGACACGTGTTCCTTTAACTGTACACTACTCACTAGTTTCGTGCTTTTTTGATGACGACCACATGAGAAATTAGCAGCCTTCTGTTCAACTTGCTAAGTTTGATCCCCAATACCACATCCTGGAAAATCAGATGTAACACATATCTCTTGTGATTTGACAAGTTAGTCTTCACAGAACTCTAAGATGAGATGCTTCTCAGTCAGCGTCTGTGAACAAATGCACCGGAGGATACACTTTAAGTCCGTGGATGATGGACGGGGCTGACAAGACGACACTCTCCATTGCCACCAAATAGATATGTGTTCTCACTGAGCCTCCTAAAAAGAGAGAACATACATCAAAGCTCCTCCAAATTCAAAAGAAAGTCTCCAACAGCAAAACGTTTTTAGCAGTCTAAACGGCTTTCAAAAGCAAGCACATGTGACCCCCATATAGGAAGACAATGAGTGGGGACTTCCTATCACTTCATAAAGAAGCACCAGGGCTGTAGGCTATGTAGACAGTAAGCAGGAGAGCTGAGGAATTGGCAGTATAATGGAGAAATGGATGGAGCATGGGCCAGAAAAACTTGGGATAGAGAACTCCCAGCCTGGGTAAATTACCTAATCTGGCAAGGCCTCACCATAACCTCATTGAAACACAGCAATCATACCACAGCTCGAGGTGATTTTAAGTACTATGAATAACATTTTCATCAGAAAAAAAAAACACCGAAAAAGCCCTAGAACTTCTAGCTACTCTTGTGATCTTAGTGACATTTGTAGTGGGTAGCCATTCCAGCTTGGATCTGGAAGTTCCAACCCCCATTGAGACTCTGGCAACTGTCACACCTACGAGGCGGGGCGAGGGGAGGTGCTGGAAACCCGAGAGCTGGATGGGCGAGCGCTCTCTCTGGGCGCGCTCTCTGCGCCTGGACCCTGGACAGTGGAGATTGACTGTGCAGAGCTCCAGAGAACACCGCTGGATTGCGATACAGCTTCCCCAGACCCCCGCCACCTATCCATTCCTTCATTTGTAAGTCATCCACTAAATAAATCTTCCTTTTAACTACGTGGAGTGGCCTTTATAATTTTCTCCAATAGACATTCACATCAATAGTGACTCAACATGAAGAAACTGCAAGCTAAGAAATGGGCACGATTTCCTACGTTACAAGGCCTTCCATCCTCTAAGTTTTGAAGTTGGAACTATCTCAGTATGCTGTGGTAATATATTTTATTATTTATCTTCTGAGTTGGTAGCATACTTTTACCTGGCCCAGATCACAATGCTTCTTTTTATGGAAATGGAGCATCACAAGGATACTTTTATTCAGAACCTGGCCACCTAAGCACGAACCATCTCCTCAATAGGAATAAAACACCATGGTTCCATCATTTTACTACAAGTTGGGCGACGTGCTGGAAAATGCTTTTGCTCATTTTTCGCTCCTTGTCTAATCAATTTTTATTCTTGTCGTAGTTACATGAAGTAGAGATGGAACTGGCTAAATAAAGTGAAAAATGTTTTCAATTGCATTGCAAAGCGATAGGTGCATTATTTCATAAATGAATAGTGCTACCCATATTCATGTAATTGATGAATCAAAATATCGTTTAGGGGAAGCATGAGTGTCCAATTTTGCATCTAAATGCCTGCATTAGCTGTCAGCTGGGCTAAACCCACAAAGACAAACAGCTCTACAGTGGGTACATAGATGAGGGTATTCATGGTCCACTTTTTCTAGTGGATGTAACACTGTAATCATGAAGATGCTTTCTGCAATTACTTCCTTCGTAGTTTAACTAAACTTTCCCATGCCTTTACTGATTGTGCACTACCTATGTGACCCATACTTAATTTTTGAGCCTTTAAAAAGTCCATTTCCTTCCATTCTATCTCTGTATCATATTTATTGACATGTTTGTTAGCTAGTAAAGTAAAAATTTAAAATACTATATATTAGACTATATAAGGCACCGTGGAGCATATTGTTTAATGTTAATATTGCTAATATATGTCTCCATTTTTATGCTCTTGGAATTTTCTAAACTAATGGATATTACTAAGTAACATTACTCTGCTATGTGATAACACTGGTGTTACGTGTATGTGAGTGTGTGCTTGTGTGCATGTGGATGTCTACAAGAATGAAAGAAGAGAAAGAAAAAGAGTAAAGGAGGAAAAAGCGGGGAGACATCATACCATCAAAGGTTAGTTGTGAAGATGGTCAAAGAAAGGCCAGTTGAGTGTTATAGCTAGAGGATTCCAAGAGGGGCTACCTTTAAAGAATAGATCTTACTTCTCATTCATTTATTCCATCAGCGTTTCCAGCTCCTGTTAGGGGATGAGCATATGGTCAAGTGTATACACATTAAGCCTGCAAATTACACAGTCCTTGCCCTCAGGGACCCTTTGAAGGGTGGAAGACATTAAAGACTCCAAATCAATGAATGATCTACAGTGCCATAAATGAAATAAATATTTTAATAGAATGGTATCCAAGGTGAGTGTATTGGAGGAGGCTCAGATTGCAGAAAAATAGAGTGTGGTGTCTGTTTTCTTTTTAACAAAATGAATAAGGAATATCCAAAGGTGGACAGGAATAAAGGGGGATTTTAAGGGTAGAAAACTTCTCACTGAAAGAATTCAGTGGAGTTTTATAGCTTATGATGGTTCATAAAATTAGCAGTGGTTTGTCTGGGGTGTGTGAATACAAGAGTCTACTGTAAATGTAGACAGGGGAAGCGTCTACTGAGGCTACAGCAAGAAAACAACAAGTGTGCAAACAAATCTAAATAAAGAAGAACATTTTTTTTAGCAGTGTGGCCAGACTATTAGTAGCTCACACAAATAACCTTAATGGTAAAGACAAATCAGTTAACTCATAGGAAGGGTCTAAAAAATCCAAATGAGAACAGAAGTTAGTGAGCAAAACCAGCCATGTGCAGGTGACCTGAAAATGGGGATTATGGCACCAAAGAACAGAGCTCCTATTTAACAGGGTGTCACTAGTGGATCTAAGCCAATTGTTACATTGAATAGTATCCTAAGGTTACTGATTTCTTGACTCATATGAAGCAAGAAATACACATTTCTGTGTGTATTCTCTCAATTTTAAATGTTTCCGACTAATATCTGTTGTATGTGTGTGCATGCATGTGTGCATGCTTGCGTGTGTGTGTGTTTGTGTGTGTGTGTGTGTGTGTGTGTGTGTGTGTGTGTTCAAACCCAGACAATTATTATGGACTGTATCTGGCCTATGGTTTTCTGTTCCATATCCTGTGATTTAATTCAATATTGCATACCGGTAGATCTTAGCGGACAGAATGTTTTGGACCAATTTCCTACATTTTCCTATTGTAATAAGGTATGTTCAACTTTTTATTTTATAAATAAAGAAATCCCTTTCTTTAAATATGATGGCCAGAGAGTCTCAGCTCTAGGACCAGTGGGCTCAGCGTCAGGGAATGTTGCTATCTGTGCTTTGAGGATGACATTATTGCTATATCCTCATAGCTAAGCCACATCCTCACATAACTAAAGGGCAAACAAATTGAATACCCTCTTCTAAGCCCTTTCCAAAGGGCAATAGTTCCACCCTCATGGCCCAAATAGTTTCTGAAGACCCCAGCTCATACACTATTGCAATGAAAATAAGTTTCAACATGAGTTTGGAAGGATGGGAACAGTCAAACTATAATATAGGTTGAGTTTTACTCATACAGAATGAGACTTGAGGTATAATATAAAAGTTTTATTTTTTAATTCTGTACCTCACTCAACATATCTGTAATGAAAGGAATTATAATCCTACCAGGATGCCAGCAGTGTTACACAGAAACATTTGGGGAATTATCACAAGATTAACTGTAATGAGAGCTTTCTCCCACAGGGAGACTGTTTAATGATATCATACCACTTTTAGAATTGTAAATTATGTACCGTTCATAATGGTCATCAAAATGCACTCTTGAAAGTCAAAGAAACAAAAGCACTTCTCATTAATTTTAATTGTCAACGTCTATTTTCCTTTCGGATGCCTCTGCTAGGGAGTCTGAACCATGCCAACGGTTCCACGTTGTCTTCATTTCTGACCGTTTAGATACAGACAACAAAGATGAGGTTCAACTTCTCCACTACATCTGTAAGCTCTCAGAAGCCAGATCCTGAGAGGACCCAGGCCTTAGCTGAGCTTTGCCAGCAAAGGTATCATTTTGCTTTGTCAAATTAAATTTAAACACTCAAAATTCAGAGTAGAAGACATGTCCAAGTGGCCAATGATTACTGCTACAACACACACACACACACACACACACACACACACACACACACACACTAAATAATAGGTCCAATGATAAAAGCATTATGGACACTGTATTTGTACAAAAAAGATGCATAGAAGAGAGTCTGTGAACTAACAGAATAGAGCAATGGGTGTCTCTAAGAAGTGAAAACATCACTGATACTTCCCTTATCTTTTCTTATTTCCTTTGCAACTCTTTATTGTACTTTCAAAAGTCCACACAATTCAAAGATGTAGTATACATAATGTTCACAACGAGTATGTGTTACTTCCTTTTTCTTTTTGTTTTCATGATGACACTGGGGATCGAACTTACCAGGCGAGCACTCCAACACTGAGCTACAAACTCATCCCTGAATTATTTGTGCCATGGAAAGAAGAGAAGGACTGGCTTGCACAATGAATATTGGTGCACAGCATGGAAACGCAAGATGGTTGCTCTCAAGGATGAAGGTAACAGAAAAATGTAAACTCTTCTCTCCCTGAATGGGAGCGCTGATAAAAATATGTTTAAATCTATTTAAGTACACCTTTAATGTGT